CTCGAGCAATTTGTTTCCCCCCGGAAGAATGTTCTTGACGAGTTTCAATAAATCGCCAAATGCCTTGTCACTAACCCCATTTTTTGCCTTCCATTGCAACAACTCCAGAGTGGTATCCAACTTTTTGTGCCCCTGCTTGCAACCTGGGTACAACGAAGTTCTGTGGTCGTCCAACATCTTGTCCAATTTATGGGCCTCCTTTTCACTTTCGCAGTCTTCCCTGGCGTCCTGCAACATCTGACCAAGATCATCCGCAACGTCGTTACCATCAGCAGCTATTTCCTCCTCGCCCGTTTGATTTCCTTCAAATCCAACATACTGAGCAAAGTCCGGAATATTGTCGTCTTCCACTTCATCTTCTTCCATTTCAACACCTTGCTCTCCGTGGGATGTCCAACAATTATAGCTTGGCATGAACCCCGACTCAAACAAGTGGAAATGAATAGTCCTGGATGCAGAATACTCCTTCTGATTCTTACACTTATTGCATGGACAACAAATAAAACCCCTTTGCCTGTTAGCTTCGGCCACTCTCAAAAAATAGTGTACGCCGTCAATAAACTCTTTGGACCGCCGGTCAGCGTACATCCATTGCCGATCCATCTACATGAGTCAAAAAAACCGCACACAAATAATTATTCTTACAATAATGACAGTCATACAATAATTATAAGATATCTTTATTCATACAAAAATCATAAAATATTACACCAAATAATTCTTAAAAACTATTTGTAAAGTTTTAAACTAATTTTAATGTGTTTTACTTCTTTTAATTTTCATTTTAGTTTGTTTTCTATTATTTAAGATTAACTTTCACTAGAGTTTTCCTTCTCAACTATTTTATAAAACCTTGTTTAGCAAATGAACTAAATTTCTATATATTCTTTCTTCCCCACACACATTTTCTCTCTCATCAACTTACAACTAAATTTTGGAGACAAAAAAAGTGTGCAAAACATAGGTGCAAATGTAGTATGACAAAAAAAAAACATTGGAGGATGAAGTTGCAAACCTTTTAGGCACCTCCGATTTGTATGTAATCACCAAAATAAATTCAATAGAAATTTTGGCATGACCTCCCCTCTTTTTTGAAGAAATTTTGAAGCTTGCTCGGGCAGCTGGAGGAGGAAGAAGACATATATATAGGGGTGGGACTTTAGTCCCTGTTGGTAGCACCAACCGGGGCTAAAGATCACCGGGATCATTAGTCCCGGTTGGTATTACAAACCGGGACTAAAGATCATCTTTAGTCCCGGTTGGTAACACAAACCGGGACTAAAGATCAAATATGCCCGTTACCCTTTTGAACCGGGACTAAAGATCATCTTTAGCCCCGGTTTTTATTGCATCCGGAACTATTGTGGAAATCGGCCGACCGACGAAAGATGGTTTCTCCACTAGTGTACAGTCTACAGATGTCTGTTATTTACTCTTTCCCTCTTTGTTCATGCACTCCTGCAAGAAGGGTCATGTTCTTACAAAAACTCTATGCCAGATTTTAATTTGAAGAATTTGATCTAAAGTTGGCAATGGTATAGGGAGTGACGGAGCTAGGTCCAGCGACCCAAGGCTGGTGATCGGGCTCTACCGTCTACCGACATGCAGCAATAGAATAGTCTTAGAGCATCTCCAACAGCCTCTCTAAATTAGACTCTCTAAACATCCATATTAGCCAACGTTTAACATCTAAATGAATATGAACAATGCTAGAAAGTCTTACATTGTGAAACGGAGGAAGTATGAAATTAAAAGGTCAGCAAATCCTTCTCTTTTTCTTTTATTGAAATTAAGCAACAGCGACAGCAAAGTGCACGAGAATATTAGAAACTAGGTGAAATCCCGCGCGTTGTTGCGGAAATTTACTATGATGTATAAAAAATAATGTGTAAAATAGCTTAAACAATATAAGCTTACATAAACATAAGTTTACATATGTTGATGTGATTTACATTTCAATAGTACGTAGAATAATGATTTAAATATAAAAGTAAGATGGTATAGCTTGATGAGAGAACAAAAGAATGAGAATGAATATAACATAGATGATACATCTAATGGCTAAAAAAATGAGATGATATGGCTTAATGAGAAGAAAATAAGAGGGATAATTTGAACCATAGATTAATCATCTAAGGATTATAAATAATTGATGTGATATGATTTAACGAGAGAAAAGAAAAATAACATAAACTAAATGAGGATGTACTACATATAAGATATTATAAAAAATAATGGAGAGATATATTGAAATTTTATATAAATTATGTGAGATGATTTAACATGCTTACATTTAAATCTCTAAAATTTAATAAATTATTAAATTATAGATAATATAACATGTTTGCATGATGCTTAAATGTAATAATTGTTAGTGGATGATAATGTGGCATCTTTGCATGTTAAGATTTAGGAATTAATAGGCGTTTATAGTAAGAGAGGATGGGTAAACCTCAGCCATTTAGGAGGGCATACTCCCTTCGACCATACAGATAGAAGAGATTTTGGAGACATGTTTAGAGTAACTAAGGTTTAATAGAGAAGACTATATAATGCCCCCTCATTAAATGAGGAGTGGTTGGAGGTAGGAGGATAATTTATGGTAAGATCAAAATTAATTTGATTGTGTGAGGTGATTTATTCAACAAATATTATTATTCCAAAGTTCGGGTCAAAATCCTTTATACCTTGAACAGAGGGAGTATAAACGACCTTCATGGAAAAAAGTTATTGTTAATTTGTTTCATCTTTGAAACTTTGTAATAATAACAATCAACAATTTTGCTAAAAACATGGCGCCATATTTTTTTTAATCACATTTTTCTTATGTGATTGCTATAAGTATTTTTTTTCTTATGTATGATTGCCATAAGTATGTTTATAGCTTCCCACCTTTAAGTATATATATTACCAGTTACGTTAATCCAAATTCATTTATATAACATGTACTTGAAAAATTATAATTTAATTATTTGTAATTGTAATATAATTACAATATAAATGTAGTTAATTTATAGTATAAAAATGATTTTGACTATAGTTATGAAAAATGTGGCACCGTACATATAATGAGTCTTGAATTGTTGATGGGTTATGCACGGGCACAAAATAAAGACATTTCTTTGTTGCTCTATAATGGCAAATCTATTAACTTATTAAAGTAATAGAAAAACGAGCCTTCACGTTCACTTTCACAGCCTAGAAAATCTCATATTAATCCGAGAAAAGTAAATAAATCAAGTGTATATAGAAATACAAGTTTTAAATAGCTAAATTTCTTTGATGGGAATTATTGCCAGGCTTTGCCCAACAGTTTAGCTTTTATAAATGAAATAAATAATTACATCATACAAAGAAGGAAGAAATAGAGCCGAAGAATTTACAAAGTTTGTAACCAATCAATTAACACTGGCTGTTTTAGAGGCTCTTTCATTCTACACATATGTAGAAGAATTTTTTTCTTGAACTGGGTCTTCCAACCTTAAAAATTAGAAATTAAAAAAAGGAATATTGGAAGAGAAGGACTAGAGTCCACACATGTATAAAATTAGAGCTAATTGAAATTCAAAATAGAAAAACAAGAAAATTAGAAGGACTAGAGTCCACACATGTATACAAATAGAGCTAATTGAAATTCAAAATTAAAAAAACAAGAAAATTAAAGGTAGAGGTCAGAGTCCATATAGAAAAATAATTTAGAAATGACTAAAATTTAAAATTAAAAAATAAGTAATATTGGAATAAGAGTCTAGAGTCCATATAGAATACAATTTAGAAATAACTAAAAATACAGAAAAATGAGTTTAGAGTCCATATAAAAATATAGTTAGAAATAGTGGAAATTAAGAAATAAAAAAAAATATATATTAAGAAATACTGAGTAACTATCATGTATAGAGTCCGAGTCCATATAGGAATATAATTTAGAAATAACTGAAATTTGGAATTTAAAATAAGGGATATTGAAAGAAGAGTGTAGAGTTCAAATAGAAATATGATTTACAAATAAAAAAACTAAGAATATTATAAGAGGAGTCTATAGTACATATAGAAATACAATTTAAAAGCGAAAGGGCCTGTAGCGTAATGGTTACATGAGCCTCAGTAGCACATGAGGTCTTGGGTTCGACTCCCCATGGGAGCGAATTTGCGTTCATATAGGAATAAAATTTATAAATAACGAAACTTTGGGATAAAAAAATAAAAAATATTCAAATAGGGGTCTAGAGTCCATATAAAAATACAATTTAGAAATAACTAGAATTTGGAATTAAAAATGATTAATAACTATCATGTGTATACAATACAGTATGAAAATTACATATCGGTTAGTTTAGCCAAGTTAGTACGTAATTTCAAATAATGTTTCCATTTTAACATATTTAATAATAAAATGTATATAATGTGATATGTGAGAAAATATAACTGTGCGAGCCGCACAATCTGCGTGGGCCACCATACTAGTTATTGTCAAATGAACGATATTGTTTTCCTTTCCCCTATTATGTTACTACATCGAGAAAAATAAGGGTTTTACTCTGTACAAAAATATAAGACACTCATATTTTTTTAAAAAAATAATTTTAATAAGTTTTGACTAATAATTCAAATAACAACTTATATGTTTTGTGTCATGTATGCCATGTCCCATTAGATTTGATAGTTGGAAGTGCTTTTGTGTTATACTAATATTATAGTTATTGGTAGCATATTATTAAACTAATTAGTCAAAGTGTAGTATATGAGACCATGTAAAAAACTTTATCAATAACTTGTATTTTGGACGAAGGGAGTGCGGAGCATACACTCATCTTATTAGGTACACTTGTGGACGTTGGGAATTAAGGCTAAAATATATAACCTCTTTATTCTTTATGGCCGTGAATCAGAGGGAGTAAGAAAATAAATAAATAATAAAATATTAATGCAAGCTAAGGGAAGAAAATAAATGATCGATCCCAATATATACATATATTCAACTGCCTGCATGCATGATGCAGCACTGCAGGCTCTGCCTATGGTTTTGGAATGGCTCAAGAATAAGAAACTGAAGACGGCCAACGTCGACATGCAGCAGCTCACTAGCCAGAGAGACAATGACAACGGGAGCACCCCTCTTCACTTGGCGGCATCAATGGCTGGGCTGCCGTCCCTAGGGTCGATGTCGGCAGGGCCATTTGCGACCATGCTGTACTCAACGCCTGGGCTGTGGTTCCTATGGTCGAAGTCGGCGGGGCCATCGTCGGCGACCAGGCTGCTGCTGGATGCCAACGTGTCCACGGCGTACCAGCCGGACAACCAAGGGCAGTACCCCATACACGCTGCTGCGTCGGCGGACAGCCTGGAGGCTGTGAAGGCCCTGCTCGAGAAATGCCCGGACTGTGCTACCCTCCGAGATGCGAGAGGAAGAACTTTTCTCCATGCTGCCGTTGAGAAGAAGAGTTTTGATGTGATTCGCCATGTCTGCACTTCGCGAGGGTTGTCATCGATCCTGAATCTGCAGGACGACAACGGGGTACGATTGGATATGCGGAATAAGGAGGGCATGATGCCCGCCGATGTTTCATGGAGCATGATGCCTTTAAAGACTTATTATGCATGGGTAAGTAACCGTACAACTTGGGGCTATCTCTGCTTCTTAATTGACTCATGTTTTTCTTGTCTCTATAAATCGCTTTTTCCTATACTAGAGCATCAGTATATATCCAATTACTCTTACTATAATGTTCTTTTTCCTCTTCTTGTGTGAAACAAACATTTTTCTAATCTAGACATGCAAAGAATATAGTTAGTTGTTTATCGTCACTGGTAAAACAATTTTCTTATCTATGTAACTATCTATCTATCTATCTATCGATATTATTTAGACGACCTTAAAAGAAGGAACCACAGCACCACATTCGCTGTGAAGGCTAGAAAACCTCACATTAATTGAAGAAAAAAAGAGTTTAAGTAGGAATATAATTTAGAATAATTAAAATTCAGAATAAAAAATAAGATATATAGAAACTACATTCCCTCTAGAACACAACACGAGATTAATTAAAATTTAAAATAAAAAATAAAATACATTTCAAAATTAGAAAAGAATAATCAGAGTTCAAGTAGAAAAACAACTTAGAAATAATTGCAATTGGAAACAAAAAATAAAAAAAATTGAAAGATCTATAACACAAGACAAGATAATTAAAATTTAGAATAAACAATAAAATAAAATTTGAAATTAGAAAAAAAATGAGAATAAAATTTATAAATAATTGAAATTTGGAATAAAATATCCATATTAATAATAGAAAAATAAAAATTAAAGTTAAAATAGGAATATAATTTTGAAATAACCAAAATTCAGAATAAAAATAAGGAATATTGAAAGAATAGTTTATCTAAAACACAACAAGAGATCAAAATTTCTAAATAAAAAATAAAACTTGAAATTAGAAAATGAAAATTGAGAGTTTAAGTAGTAATACCATTTAGAAATAACTTAAGATCATATAAAAAATAAGAAATATTGAAAGAAGTGACCATATAGAACATTAGACTATTTAAAATTAAAAAATAATAAATAAATAAATTGTATTATATTATGAAGAGGACAAACCAAGAGGCAGCAAAGGAGTAGGGCAATGTCGGCTAGCAAGACTTCTAAAAACTAGAAAAAAGAATCCCAACAACGATCAGGTTCAAGTTTTAAAATTCCGATATAATAAAGAGTAGAGGCAACATGCTGGCCATACCATGGGACATCTAAAAACTATAAAAATAGAACCCCAATGATCCTTAGGTTTGATTTTTAAATCTTAAATAAAAAATAAAGAGGAGGGGTGGCAGGTACCTCTCCGTCCCATAAAAAAGCCAGGATTGGCTTTTTTTTTGACAGAGTAGTTGGCCGTAAAGAAGTAGGGTGACAGCGGTGTTTAAAATCTAGAAACTAAAATAAAAACCTCAACGATGATCAGATTATGTGTTTAAAATCCGAATGACAATAAACAAGAGGGACAGCGGGCGAGCCATAAAAGTGTAGGGTGCCTATTGATGGGACTTCTATAAACTATAAAAGTGGAAGCTTATGAGACCATGGTCTCTATAAATTATAAGATTCATTTTTTAAAGATCTCAAGGAGAATAGAAGTTGTGGCAGCCAAGCAAGCAAGTATAGGGAAGGAAAATGAATAAAAGGTGATGCTTGGTGTGACTTTTAAAAACTATAAAATTGAAAAATTTGATGATGATAAGGTTTGATTTTTTTTTAAAAAAATCCTAAGACAACGAGATGACTATTTTTGTTTTTCCCACTCATAGAAGCCTATTCTCTCTTCCATCATAAAAAATTTGCGCTTCTCGCTTTAACTAATGTCCCTTCAATACTCCTTTCAATTTTGCCATCATCATTGGTCAACATCAGTGAACCTAAGATTTGCCAACAAAAAAAATATCATGCCCTTATGAAAAACTTATATATAAGAAAAATCCAAAAATCAAGGATTTTTTTTTACATTTTAGTTTCTATAGGTTGTACAAAAAAATTATGGCACGGAAATTGATATACACATATACATTCTTGCGTGCAGAATTCAAGCATACGCATACGAAAATTACTCTTGAAACTGGGAGCTCCACTTGGTGAAAGTAGAGGTGACCTCTTCGATGAAAAGCACAATAGAATCATCGGAGAAAAATCTAAATGGGACATGGAAAAGATGTCGGAGAATGTAACAGCTGCAGCACAAGTCTTGGCCCTTTTCTCCGTCCTTATTACAACAGTGACATTTGCGTCGGCTTTCACGCTGCCCGGTGGCTACCGATCAGCCGGCGACGATGGTGGTGCTGCTGGGACGCCGGTGCTTGCTAGGCGTGGGAGCTACGCTTTCGATGCGTTTCTCCTCGCCGATGTCTGGCATTCATCTGTTCTTTCGTCGCTACGGCCAAACTGCTCTATGCCGGGGTGCCTGCTTTTGGCCTCGAAACCCGCTTCAACAGTATCAATGGTGCATACAGCCTGATGATGAACTCTTGGAAGATGCTAATTGGTGGCTGCTCTTGCCCTGGGCCTCTACGTGGTGCTGCTTCCACCAGTTGTCCGCACGATTGCAATTGAGATCGGTGTTGCGATGATTATGCTTGCAATATGGTTCACCAAGAATTCGGAAGGGTCGGTTGATCCTTTCTCATTATACGTTCCTCTTCTGAGAAGCAGTTCCAAAGTGTCACAACAGGATATGTCACGCTCCATTATTTTTTGGTTGGAACGTTATTGGTCCTTGCTGCTATATTCGCCCTCCCTGCAATTCACACATGGACAAGGGCAAAGTAAATAGAGATCCATATCGATCGAGTTTCACATTATTAATTCTTTTATTTCGATACGAATCATGATATGCCCTACAAACAATCACAGGAATAATAGTTGTATCACATACTTACTATGTTTATGAATATGTAATAAAGTATCCCTTCGTATAGATATATAACTTATTATTAATCAATAAATGTGTGGCTTATTCATGTACTCCCTCCGTTTCGTTTTATTTGACGCCGTTGACTTTTTATCACATGTTTGACCGTTCGTCTTATTCAAAAACTTTTGTGAAATATGTAAAACTATACGTATGCATAAAAGTATATTTAACAACGAATCAAATGATAGGAAAAGAATTAATAATTATTTAAATTTTTTGAATAAGACGAGCGGTCAAACATGTGCTAAAAAGTCAACGGTGTCAAATAAAACGAAACGGAGGGAGTACTATTTTTCTGAGTATCATATACTACCTATTGTTTTTTCGGGTGCATTATTCACTCCTCGATCATTTACGCGCCTACGTGGTCGATTTTTCTGAATCCGTCCGATCGTTGGCCTGCTTTGCATCTTAGCCGTCCATGTTTGGTTTCTCGAGGCTTCCTCCTCCACTATCGACGCAGAGGCAGGCCCAAGGCCTTCCCACTTTTCACAAGAGCAAATCGATGAGGATGAGTGCGCGCCGTGTCAGGACGGAGAATGGTTAGGTGGATCTATTTATCCACTAAATCTATCCATAAATTTGTCCTAACAAATTTTTAGTGTCACTCCCAAAATATAAATGAATCAAATGAATCAAACCATTAGAATCTATGTTCAAGGGGTTCAACCCAAAATGACTTCACATGTATAAATGTTTCAAACAAAGTTGCTTCTCTGTATAATAATTCATTTCGACAAAAATCAACTAAATTTAACAAGTTTTCATAGTGTGAACGTGAGTTTAAAAATTTTGGGTCCGAGTTTCACACAAATGTAACTGGAATTTTTCGGTCTTAGTAATGCATCTTTGGTCCCGCATGTCTAAATGGCTTAAAATTTTAACAAAGTTGCTTCTCTATATAATAAATCATTTCTACAAAATTCAACTAAATTTGATAAGTTTTTATAATGTGAATGCAAGTTGAAAATTTTTGGGTCCGAGTTTTACGCACATATAATGAAATTTTCTTAGTATATTAGTAGTGCATTGTGGGCCCCACATGTATAAAGGGCTCAAAATTTACACAAAGTTGCGTCTTTGTGCAATAAATTATCCCACGAAAATTTGACCGAATTCGATAAGTTTTTATAGTGTGAACGCGAGTTTAAATAATTTGGGTCCGAGTTTTACATACATGTAATAAGAGGTTTTTTTGTCGGTTTTTTTTGTCTACTATAACCGATCTATTTAGATATCCATGGATAATCTATTGATATAATGGACTCATGATGGATTGACTCTACTAAACTATGGATCAACAAACTCACTTAAAATGGTTGGTTTAGGTTCAATCTATATCCTAACCATTCCCTTCCTGACTTCACCGCTTGGGTTGTCATTTCTTTTTAGACAATCTTTTTTACCAACCTACATTGTTATTAGCTCCTCGTTGACGGTTGTTAGCGATCAGTTTCGACCATCAATATTACCAAAATAGAGAAGAACTAGTTATGCTTGCAATGTATATTTGTATTAGAACAATAATATTCCACTAGTATTAGGATTACTAACCTCTTGTAGAGAATGAACACAAAATAAAGGAGAATCGACATAAAACTAGACGATCAATCAATCGAACGATGTCGAGAATCAGACTTATGCATGAATGGGCCAAGAACTCAGAGATGACACAACGAATTGGGGCAAAATTCATAAGTCTGCGGAGAACAGCAATAGTGGGGGCCACCTGCCAGAGCTTGGGCCGATTAGGCCAGCCCAGGGTTAAGTTTAGCCGAACCCACACCCTGGCCGCCGTTGGATCCAGGTTTTGGCTGGATGGCGTGGATCACTCCCCAATGACGGTCGGAGGGAAATTCCGACCATTCCAACTGCCACAACCGTCATTGGCAGCCTATTTAAGGAGCTCCTCTTCTCACTTTCTCCACACACTTCAAGCAAGAGCTCTCTCATATTCTCTCAAGTTTAGTTTAGTATTTTTAAGCTAATGGAGTAGGAATAGAATAGAAATCGGAGTCCGGAAGCCTTCGGAAGAGTTCGGGTATGGCTCTAGTAGCTCTCCTCTTCTCTTTTGTAAGCTTTGTACTTTATTTAGAAATACTTTTCTTTATACATTTCTAGTATTAAAATACTTTCCGAGTATATGAATACCAACTTTACTTTATATTCATGTTATACCGATTATACTGCTAGCTTATCTGGGAGATGCATAGGTATGGGTATAATGTTTGCTATTGCAATTACTCTATGTCATGACGATGATATTAGAGTACTATCTGGTAGTTTAGGTGTGATGTCTAGATTATTGGGTATTATTATTTGGGGTTATATGCTGCGGATGAGAGGTGGGCTGCTGATGGTGACGGTTTAATACGGGTATTCCTCCACGCGTGTATATAGTACTAAGTTAATTTCCTGGAAAGGGTACTCCTCCGTATTTAGCCCCGGTTGTATGGTCATGACGGGCTGTCGTAAGGAACTTGACAATCAGGGGTGGCTTCTCGAAGTACTAGGAGGGTATCGGAAAGAGGGTATTAGCTAGTTAATCATATAACTAGAATGTATGTATACTATGTATACTAGAATGAGTAGTAATTTAGTATGAGAATGAGTAGTTCTTTGCTTGTGTGTCACTCTACCATTTAGATTATATTAACCCCTGCTTAGACTATGATTATTACAAGTAATATATAAATTATTAGTACAGTTATCTTTACTATGATCTTTCCACGGGATTAAATAAATACGATACTCTTGAAATACTCTCGGGTGAAATACTACAATAGTATATCCATGCGCTTGCGGATAAACTCTGTAACTATAATATACCATGAGTATTTCTACACCATTGCTGAAAATTATATTTCTATTAATGTCATTAAGAAATACCAACACTCCTTTGATCAGTACTATTATATGAGCGAGCGTATCCAACACCATGAAACATGCCGATGGAGATCGCCAGATATCTTTCGGATAATTATTCTATTAGGCTATATTCGACTAATACTCAAGACAGACGATTGGAGCAAATTGATGGGGGAAATAATTTCACACCATAATTATGTGTGAAATAGATCTTTTTAATTCCTGTCAATCTCTTTCTAGGGGGATTAACCAAATAAGTCCTTAGGGGTTTAAGAATTTAAGTACAGGTTAATTTTCTAATCCATTCGCTTCTTAATGAGAAACGATCACTAAGCAGGTGGAGCGGGTGTGGGTACAGTTTCACGGTACTCATAACTCATACCAGTGACCCACGGGCACCAATCTAAGTCTTAATATGAACTCAGAACTATTCAACCCATTGCGCTACTTAGGTTATGTGGTGAATTGATGGTTGTTGAATTGGATGCACCGTGTTCAAATTTGCATCTCATATGCTACCACTTTCTGGTATTAATTATGTCATTTGCATTTTTGTTACTTCTACCGAGTTTATTCTCTCGTTGTTTATTTGTTTGTGTTGGGTTTGAGTATCCATGCAGTTCCGTCGATAAAGTTGGTTGGAGTGGAGGTGGTGTAGTCATGGACAGCTGCGGGCATCGCCGGTGAGAGTGAACTAAGTGAAAGCATTATCTCAATTGGGCAATTTATACTGTGCAATAAATATCTGTAACGGTCTAATAGTTATCTTAATCGGGTCTCAAGTTAGAGCCCATCACGGATGACATTCATCAGTGACGGGCCTAATAGTTATCTCAATCGGGCCTCAAGTTGGAGCCCGTCACGGATAACATTTATCGGTGATCGGCCTAATAGTTACCTCAATCAGACCTCAAGTTGGAACCTGTCATGGGTGATGGACATCGGTGACGGGCTTCTGTTAGGGCCCGACAAAGATATCATTGGTTATCTTTGTCGGGCCTTAAGTTGGGGCCCGTTACCGATAGGTGTCATTCGTTATTAGCTTAATTTTTATGCACATCTAACAAGTCTGTTTTTTTTGGCCCGTTTGAAATGACTTCGTTGTGACGGCCCGCAAAACTCAGGCATGTGAGGGGCTGTCACAGATGAGAGGATATGTACTAGTGATGATTTGACAATGTAGTGCTACAGTAAATATTTACTAATGATGGATTAATTATATATGATTAATAAATTCGTCTCGTGGTTTACTGACGGATTCTGTAATTAGTTTCTTTATTAGTGTCGCAACACCCCATGCGAAACCCTATATAATTAGTTTCTTTATTAGTATATATATCTATACTACTTAAAAAATTCGTAGTGGTGATGGTGAAGCCAATGTAGACACGCGATAAGGGAGGTCTTGTCGGCCCCTAGTTTTTCAACACAGGAAACCGGATGCGTTTTATTGAAACCAACTCCCTGGATCGGTAGGTTGGTATACAAATCATACATAACTTGGTACAACAGAGTCTGCACGATTAAGTCTTACAATACTTATTGATACATGGGTTGCCCGAGTGGGTCCCGAATAGGCCTTATATGGCCGAGTACAATACCAAAAGAGTGGAGAAGGGGAAAGAGGTGGGCGGAAACGAAGCTGCGGCGGTCCTTCGTCTCCACAGGCATCGACTGGGGATCACTCCTATGGTGCCTCCTCGGCTTCACCGTCTTCTGGGGTGCTCTCAAACAGTTCAGCAGCGTCGGTCGGGTCTAGAAGTGTTTTAGAAAGCAAGGGTAAGTACCATCCGTACTCAGCAAGTCACCACTACAGAATGCATTTAGTGCACATAGGATTTCAAGGATGGCTTAGTTTATTTGCATAAAGCTAGATTTCCTAAAACATTTCACAAACTTATGACCTAGCGGTTTTAACTGGAAAACAACGTTAAGTTGAAGTTGTCATTAATCTACGAGGGTTCATTCACCTTCCCCAAGCCTCGCTTGGTCCGGTTTACCCTCGCCTCCAGTTTTCTACCAACTCAACGATATCATGACCCTCCCGCCCATCGGGCAAGGTCACACCACTTTTCTCATCTAAGCAAGATTAAAATCTATGAGGCTAGTCAAGTGTAATACAAGTCCCGGCGCTCAATAACCACGAGCACGGTTATTCGAATAG